ATACCACTGTAATATTTCCGAGGCTACTGCACAACCTTGATTCTAGGGTGAAAGACCTCCTGACACCCCATAGACCATTTCACCCTATTAGAGGCAGATTTCTTTGTCAGATCTGTTAGCGGTGCAGCCAGAATAGAAACATGGGATATAAACCTCTGGTAGTAGCCGGCCAGCCCCATGTATTTGTAGAGGGCAAGGGACATAATAATAATTTGGTCACTTCAATCCATGACTGTTTGTGGGACGCTGCTGTGCAATTGGCCACCGGGTTTCGCCAACAAACTATACACTGGACGTGTAAACCCAGTATCAAGTGGACTGCCTCAGCTCCAGTGAACAAGTTCAAGCCTCTGAAGCCCAATTAATTTTGGTTTTCTATGAAGTTAATAATTAGTCTTGGAGTGTACTTTCAACAACAGAACTTCAACTTTAATCAGCAAGGTTGACTGAATTTCAGAATATAGCCAGCATGAAACACCCCTCATAGCTAAGATTGTGCTTAATATATATTTTTTTAAAAGTTTGAGTATGTATGTCTCAAACAGACAGATTAGAAGTGGGATTATCAATGTAACTCTTTGGTTCACAAAGGCAATGGAAATTTGTGTGTAAAGTCTGTAGACGTTTGAGTTAATGAAATGCTTTAATGAAGAGCTTTCTCACTTTTGTGATGTACTTTTAGTCAGGATACTTGGGGGAGCCCCAGTCTCATCCCTTATTCAATTTCCCAGCATTGCATCCTGAACTTGGATTCATCATCACATCTGTTAATGGCTCCAGCAATAGCAAAGGAGTGACACTTTGTTCTGCACGTGCACACTTTATATTGAAAGCATAATAATAATAATAAAAGTCCTTGCATTTAACATAGGTCATAATCACATTGAACAGTTGAAAGCACTTCACAGTAATTGCTGTTAAGTGTAGTTATTAAGTGATTAGATTTGCAGGCGAATGCAGCTACCAGTTTGCACACGGCAATGTTCCACAACCAGCCATGAATTAAATGATCAATTTATCATTGTTGTACAGGACACCGAGAGAAACTCCCATCTCTTTTTGAAACAGTACGTGGGATCTTTAATGTCCACCTGAACAGGCAGACACGTTTAACTCAGTTTAACATGTTATCCGAAGGATGACACTTTTTCATTCAAAGCAATCTTGTGAGCTTGAGTGGGGGGTAGGGGTGGGGGGGAAGGAGGTGACCGTAAGGGCAGTCAAAGAGATACGTTTGAAAGTAGAATTTGAAGATAGTTAAATAATGGAGAACGATGGATTGAGAGTCAGGGAATTCCAGAGGTTAGGGGAGAAATGATTGAAGGCTCAGCCACTGATGATGGTGTGCAGGGATGAGTATAGGGGGTGAGGAGAGGTATGAGCAGGTCAGGGAGATAGGGAGTTGCTTGGGTGTGAAGGGATTTATATGTAAAGGTGAGGAGCTTTAAATCGATCTGTTTAGAACCAGTGGAGCCTGGCGATGATTGAGATGATAGGTATTTGGTGTGGGTGAGGATGGGAGCAGCAGAGGTTTGGATGAGCTGGAGCTTGTGGATGGTGAAACTGGGGAGACAACAACAAAATGACATTTGAATAGTGTCTATCACATCCGAAGAACGTCCCAAGGCGCTAGACCAACAAAGAGTGAGTTTTGAAAAGCTAGAGATAAGGGTTTGGCGGCGTTTGGTGTGAGATAAGGGCAGAGGTGAGCAATGTGGCAGAGCTAAAAATGGCTTGAACCATCATTTTCTGACTCAGAGGCTAGAATGCTACCTACTGCGATCGCCGGATCACTGGTCTGCATGTGAATGGATGTGCAATATTTGAGTCTCAGGAAATTGAAAGATAATTACATTTATTATTCCAAACATCCATGCTACTTTGGCAAGTTGGGTCCAAGCCCAAACTCTGATAAAAAGACAAATGTTTTACAGGCAGATTGCTTACCCTGGTGCGGGCTTGGGAAGAAATGAGCTGACAAAACATTTCAGTTGCCAGATGAATTTGGCTCAGCCATTTGTAAGCAACACAGCACTGGGATTTGGCACAGACCGAGTGTGTGCTTTGTGTGGGTGGGAATGGTGAGCGGATCTCCCCCACCCCCATCCCCACCACCCAGAGAAATCCCACCGGCCGCTCAGGCTGTTGAGAAAGCGAGCCTGGCGCTGCGGCAGGGACTGAGAGCCCTCAGCCTGTTAACGGGCGCAAGAACTAGCTGGACATTATGAAACTGAGATAAAAACAAGTCGCTGGGAACAGTCAGCAGGTCAGGCAGCATCTATGGAGAGAGGACAATGAGTTCATGTTTCAGGCCAATGACCTTTCTCATCATTAAACTGAGAATTCCCAACAACCTGTATTCACAATTGCGAAATGCTGTTTTCCAAATATAAGCACTAACTCTGTTATTATAGTGCGATGTTCATCTCAATAACAATAACAACAAATTGTATAATAGAGAGATAGGCCAAGCATTAGACTGACTAATATATCAAGATTATTTAACATACTTAAGTTGTCTAAGCAAACATAGCCACTATAAATGAGCTCCAAGACAAACTAGGCAGGATCAAAGCTAACTGTATTCCTGTACAAGTACCTACATTACAAACAGTTCCTCAGATCCAAGTGACTATTCGGCAAAATTACAAAAGACAAATACTCTTCTCAGTTGGAGAAACAGCTGTAAAATGTTTCAATCTGTGATGTATTTAATTATCCTTGCATTTGATATAGCGCTTTTCACGTCGGGAGGACGTCCCAAAGCGCTTCACAGAATAGACTGTAAAGTGAATTGACTGTATTTACCAAACTTTTCCAAATTTACCGCCCACCAAATTGCAACAAACAGCGACTTAACATGAGTTGTGTATAAAATCCGAGTTCACTGTTCAATCCGGTCTAACGGGTTGAAATTTGCAATTCACAACAGTTTGGATGTTATAATTATTAAATGTCATGGTCGTACAATGCAATGCAAATATTTGAAATGTTGTTTCATGTCGAATTTGCTGCATTTATATTGAAATTACCGTTGTAAAATTTTCTGCAGTACATGAGCAGATGTTGTTCAATTTGGCTGGTAACTGACTGAACGTCACTTGAATTTAAACTAAAATGTGCAAGGCAATCATGCGTTTTAAGCTGACAGCTCTATTAATAGATATTTCTGCTAATCACCAAATCAGTATCGCAAAATTGATTTGAATGAAAAAGAGCTCTTTGACCCATCTGATTTCATACTTCTAGTATACCCCGGGGAAGGAAGGTTTCACCCACAAATACACAGTCACTACACTTTACAGTATATTTTGTATTCCAATCACAGGAACAAGTTGCGTTTCAAATGATTCCGGTGCCTTGGGATGTCCTCCCGACGTGAAAGATGCTGTGTAAATGCAATTTGTTGTTGTTGTTATTGTTGTTGAGTCCACTGTCCTGGACAGGCCAGAAAAAATAGTGTCACAGGATCTTTAACATCCGTCTGTGAAGCACTTTGAGACAACAACTTGCATTTATATAGCGCCCTTCACGCTGGGTAGCGTCCTGAAGGCATCTCAACGATGTGATAAACCTAAAGTATTATTATTATCATCCACTGTGAGCAGTGTGTGTGTTTGTGGGTATGTATGTGCGTATGTGTTTGAGTGGGAATGTGTGTGTGTACGTGGGCATGTTAGTTGGTTAGTGTGTGTGCATGTGTTTGTGTATGTGTATATGTGGTGTGTGTGGGTATGTGTGTCTATGTGGGTGTGTATGTATGTGGGTATGTATGTGTGCATGTGTATATGTGGTATGTGTGTGTGTGTGTATGTGAGTGTATATGTATGTGGGTGTGTGTGCATGTGTATGTGGGTATGTGTATATGTGGGTGTGTGTGCATGTGTATGTGTGTGGGTATGTGGTGTGTGTGGGTATGTGTGTTGGTTAGTGTGTGTGTGTGTGGGGGTATATCTATGTAATGTGTGTGTGTGTCTCTCAGCTGAAAGCTCAGCCTTGCGCTCTCCTGCTCCCCCCCTCTGTGCTGTACTGCTGTTTGGCTGCTGCCCTGAGCTGGCACTGGGGTGGAGTGAGAGGGAGAGAGGGAAGGAGGCAGTGAGTGAGAGGGAGGGAGGGGAAGAGAGGGAGGGAGTGAGAGGGAGGGAGTGAGTGAGAGGGAGGGGGGAAGGGAGGGAGGGAGTGAGAGGAAGGGAGGGAGGCAGTGAGTGAGAGGGAGGGAGGGGAAGAGAGGGAGGCAGTGAGAGGGAGGGAGGGAGGCAGTGAGAGGGAGGGGGGAGGGGAAGAGAGGGAGGCAGTGAGAGGGAGGGAGGGAGGCAGTGAGAGGGAGGGGGGGAGTGAGAGGGAGGGAGGGGAAGGGAGGGAGGCAGTGAGTGAGAGGGAGGGAGGGGAAGGGAGGGAGGCAGTGAGTGAGAGGGAGGGGAAGGGAGGGAGGCAGTGAGTGAGAGGGAGGGAGGCGGTGAGAGGGAGGGAGGGAGGCAGTGAGAGGGAGGCGGTGAGAGGGAGGGAGGGGGGGAGTGAGAGGGAGGGGGGGGGGGAGTGAGAGGGAGGGAGGGGGGGGAGTGAGGGGAGGGAGGGGGAGTGAGGGAGGGAGGGAGGCAGTGAGGGGAGGGGAGTGAGAGGGAGGGAGGCAGTGCGAGGGAGGGGGAGGAGGAGTGAGAGGGAGGGAGGGAGCAGTGCGAGGGAGTGAGGGAGTGAGTGAGAGGGAGGGAGGGAGAGAGGGAGGGAGGGAGTGAGTGAGTGAGAGGGAGGGAGGGAGGGAGGCAGTGCGAGGGAGTGAGGGAGTGAGTGAGAGGGAGAGAGTGAGTGAGAGGGAGAGAGTGAGTGAGTGAGTGAGTGAGAGGGAGGGAGGGAGGGAGTGAGTGAGAGGGAGGGAGAGAGGGAGGGAGTAAGTGAGAGGGAGTGAGTGAGTGAGTGAGAGGGAGGGAGAGAGTGAGTGAGTGAGAGGGAGGGAGAGAGGGAGGGAGGGAGGGAGTGAGTGAGTGAGAGGGAGGGAGGGGGGGGGGGGGGGAGGTCTGAGCGAGTGACTGCCTGTCGCTGCTCACAGTGCTGCCCCGTCACGGGCTACAGAGGAGCGCAGAGCAGAGGAGAGGGATCGGGTTTCTGCGGAGTGAGGGTGAGAGGCTCAGAGCTCTGAGGCTTTTGTTGTCGCTTCTTCTTCTTCTTCCTCCTCCTCCTCCTCTTCCTCCTCCTCCTCATCTCAGGTCGGGGCTGTGGCCTCTCCGCCTCCTCACAGATCACAGGGAATAACCGGGAATACCCCCTCCCCTCTCCACACAGATTTCCCGACACGACTCCCCAAAGGATTTACGGTCACTCTCGTGTCCGCGAGGATTGGCGGCTCTCTCACTCTCTCTCTCTCACTGTGTGTGTGAGAGCTGTGCTGTGGCTCAGGGTAAGCTGTGTGTGGGGGGGTGTGGGGGGTGGGGGGGTGTGGGGGTGGGGGGTGTGGGGTGTGTGTGGGGGTGGGGGGGGGTGGGGTGTGTGTGTGGGTGTGGGGGGGTGTGGGGTGTGTGTGGGGTGGGGGGTGTGGGGTGTGTGTGTGGGGTGGGGGGTGTGGGGTGCGTTGGGTGGGGTTGGTGGGAAGTGGGTAAGGCCCGCGGGCCGGGTTCTGCCCTCGCGGGCCGGGTGACTGGATCTGCTTCAACTGCGGAAGGCTCCGCCTCGAACCCGCAATGTCACAGTTCCCTCTCAGCGGACAGTTAGTTAGTTAGTTGGTTGGTTGGTTGAGTAGTTGGTTTGCTAATTGGTTGGTTGGTTAGTTGTGCGCAAAGAACCCTCTCTGGGAGTGAGTGACTGAGTGAGTGAGTGTCTTGAGTGAGTGAGTGAGTGAGTGAGTGAGTGACTGACTGATTGACTGAGTGAGTAAGTGACTGACTGAGTGAGTGAGTGAGTGACTGATTGACTGAGTGAGTGACTGACTGACTGATTGACTGAGTGAGTGAGTGTCTTGAGTGAGTGAGTGAGTGACTGACTGACTGATTGACTGATTGACTGAGTGAGTGAGTGTCTTGAGTGAGTGAGTGTCTTGAGTGAGTGAGTGACTGACTGAGTGAGTGACTGACTGACTGATTGACTGAGTTAGTGACTGACTGATTGACTGAGTGAGTGAGTGACTGACTGACTGAGTGAGTGAGTGACTGAGTGAGTGACTGACTGACTGAGTGAATGAGTGACTGACTGACCGAGTGAGTGAGTGAGTGACTGGATTAAATGCCTTTCCCTGGGGACAAGGGCATCTTTGGCAGTAGTTTGAGGTGAGGCTGACACAGTTCTCTCTCACTCTCTCACTCCTGCCACCCTGAGCTATCACAATCCCCCCCCCCCCCCCCACTCTTCACCAGGCTCCCCTGCAATGCCGGGAAATACCTTGGGGATGTATGTATAAGGCAAATTTCGCCCCCAACCAACCGTTTGGCTAATAAGTGACTGTGCTTCTGAAATGTTCAGGGCGATTTATTCACGGTCCCTCTCCTCCCCACTTGTCAAAAAAAATCACTTTAAAATAGTTACTGGGTTTATGTGGCAGAAGCAGATTATATCCCACTCCCAGGGAGGTTACAGAGGGAGGGTTTACACATTTAAATATGTATTGGGAACGGCTGTACGGTAGATGTGTGTGCACAGTAGGTATATAAGTTAGTATAGATGTGTACAATGTATGTGTGCGTACTGTATATTTGTGTATCCAGGCTGTATGTACATGTGTACATAGTGTTTCTGTACTATACCGTTTGCACACAGTAGATGTGCTTGTATATATATCTATACACAATGTTTGCAGGTACTGTAGTGTATGCATGCAGTAACTGCTTGTACAAGCACATCCGCTACCGAAATGTGTACTGCGTACGTGTGTGTATTGTAGTGGGTGTGCTTGTGTAGATGAGTATGTCCTGTTGTGTGCCTTGGGACGTCCTCCTGACGTGAAAGGCGCTATACAAATATAATTTGTTGTTGTATGTGTAATAATAATAATCCTTGCATCTAATATAGGGCCTTATCTACAGGGCACTGTGTGTGTATACGTGTTCGGGTGTGTGTACTGTAGTGTGGACACTGTGTACATGGTATCTGTGCTGTACATGTGCGTACACAATGGATGGATACTGTTGTGCGTACTTATACATATGTGTGCATAGTGTGTGGGTACTGTTACATGTTTGTGTATTAGGTTATGTACACAGTACATGTACTAATATTTGCATAAGGACCATTAATGTGTTTTGTCCACAAATTGAGAACCCAAACATTTTTTCATGCTTATTGTTTAAAAGACAAGAGAAAATTGTGAAGGTAAAATTCGGCAGAAAACGGGTAAATTTAGTGAAATCAGGATTTATTCTGGAATATTGAAAACTCAAGAAAACGAGCCAGTTACTAACAAAATGGTTGCTTTATTGATGATCACAAATATTGCTACAGTAGAGAGCCAATAATCCTTACTAATTGGGACTATCTCCATAGCACCTTGGGATGTCCTCCCGACGTGACGTCAAATGTAATCTTGTTGTTGTTGTTGTTGTAGCAGTTGTAGATCAGTTGTAGATCAGCACACAACAACAAATGACATTCACACAGCGCCTTTCATGTCAGGAGGACGTCCCAAGGCCCTGGACAGTCAGGGATCCGCACCCGAGCTGGTGGTTGGGATTAGGAGGGATGGAGGGTGGGGAAGGCAGGGGTAGGAGGGCGATTGAAGGCGCGGTCAAAGAGGAGGGTCTTGAGATGGGTCTTGAAGGAGGCGAGGGAGGGGACGAGGCAGAGGGACTGTGGGATGGAGTTCCAGAGGGTGGGGGCAAAGAGGCTGAAGGCTCACCCAGCAATGGTGGGGCGGGTGGGCGGGCGAGGCGGGGGACGTGAAGCAGGCTGAAGCCCGCTGAGCAGAGGGAGCGGACAGGTTGGTAGGGGTTAGGAGGTTGCAGAGTTAGGGAGGAGCAAGGCCATGGAGGGCATTGAAGGCATGATATTGACAATATAGTACACACTGTGCAGTTCTCGTGTCTGCCTCACTGATCTTTACTCTGTACTTTGTATTATTGAAGAGTTACCAGGAAAACATCCAAATGCGAGCGGTTGCCTTGCACTATTAGCAAGTGTGAGCATGCATTTTGATTCACAATGTGTTGCTTTACAATACACGTCCCTGGATGTATATTCAACACGGAGAAAAATAGCTAATTCTTTAATTTAGTCACAAATTTGGACGGAAATTGTTTTTTTTAAACAAATAAATGTTTACTAAAACATCCATGTATTTTTGGTGAAAAAACTTGAACGGTCTCACATTATGTGCATACCTCCAGTGTGTTTGGGTGCTTTTTTGGTCAGCCAAGATATCTGACACAAGCAGAAGCCTATCGTAAGAGTTTCCAACCCAGCCTGAGAGTTCCACATATATATGTGTCATCTACACATGGAAATTTCCCCACGTCTGGAATGGACACTCCCTTCACCGTCCCACCTAAATCTGGAGAGCATTAGGTACTGGTTGGTGAGAGCCAAGGCTTTGGGACTCCAGCGTTGGGATACTTTACTGTTGGAATTTGATTAACTGAAACCACATAACTTTGCATGAGAGCGCTGTCTGGCAAGCTTTCCTGCTGCTTGTCCAGCTTAGGACCACCCTACCCATGTAATGTTGTTGTTGTTGTTGTTCTTGCAGGGTTTAACAGGAGCTGTGGGTGTTGTGTGCACACAGTAAATGGGCTGTGTTCACAGTGGCTGTGGGGAGTTTCGTGTATTTGTGTGCGTGTGTACATTTAAAAAAAACGTTGCTCGCATGTACGTGAACACAGTTGGTGAAGGGGTTGCAATTCCAGGATTTCGGTTGCACCATTACCATACTTCGAATTCCTAGGATCCCATACGGTGAACGGTGCTCCCGAAATAGCGATTGCAACCCGAGTTGTTACTTCGGTAGGTGTGGTTGCTGGTGCGGCAGCTGTCAAATATGAGTGAATACCTATGTGTCACAAGTGATCAACACCATACCGTGTATTGGTAACAAATGTGCATTTACCATGGGTTTAGTCAGGGCTGGTTCCATTTGGAACGAGGTCAGTTTGACTTTCGAGTCCAAAGATTGTGGGTTTAAGCCTCATGTTGAGACTAGTTTCTAGTTTAGGCTGATGCTCCATTGCAGTACCAGGTGAGCGCTGCATTGTAGGAGGTACTTCTGTCTTTTGGATGAGACTTCAAACTGACGCCCGTTTGACTGTTTACTGGATGTTAAATGTCCAGTGGCACATTTGTAAACTGAAGTGAGTTTCTCCGGTGGCCTGGCTGGCAATCCTTGCCATTCACCTTAGGACTGTTTGCGGGACCTTGCTGTGTGCTAAATGATTGTTATGTTTGCCTACAAAGCCAGTGACTACACATGACAGTAATTACTAGTAATGAGTTTTGAGATCTTTTGATGTGATACAGTAAAAATGCTAATTCTTTCTTCCCTCAAACAGGGATCAGCCATCGTGCCATTAATTATACAACAGCCCTCCAGTTCCATTTCCTCACCTTTTCTCAATATCCCTTCTTAATTACGATGACTGTCTCTCAGTCTGTTTTTTTTAAAAAAAGTTTCAATCAACTGCATCCATGTCCTTCAGAACTAACCTTTGATTCAAAGATTTTCAGAACTTCTATTTTACTTGTGTGGCTCCATTTCAAAAGTTTTGCCCTCTTGTCCTGTGTTCAGTTCAAGTGAAGAGTCTTCCCCTGTTTTATTCTGAACCGCTCGAACACCAGAATTCCAACTAATAACTTCAATTCTCGGGCTTTTTATCAGCGATCGAGAATGGAGAGATTTCATCTGACGCTCATTGTAGGAGGGCGTGGGTCACACATACAAAAATCAAAATATGCACAATAGTTTTAACAAAGAAAAGTTTATTTTGACAAGGAAGCTGGAAATCCGTCTTCTCCAGGCTTTCCCCTCACATGCCCAGGCCCCCAGCTTTATACTGGTGATCAATTATCCATTAGGTCTGGGGCCCGATTATCACAAATTCTAATCAAGCCTGATTGGAATCAGCCCTTGTTAGCTCGCTTTACATGTAGGTTGATCGCCAATAACCATAAAAAGCAGTAACAGGTTTTATATCCCCTGTCACACTCATTTAAACTAAATTCTAAATAGTTCTTTAAACCCGGACTTTTAAACTGATCACGTAAAAGAGACAACAGACTCTTATCAAACAACTACAGCAAATTACATTTCAATACTGCCTTTCACGTCGGAAGGGTGTCCCCAGGTGCTGGATAGTTAAGGGTTGACACCCGAGCTGGGGGATATAATCAAGACGGGCGGAGGGTAAAGGTGGGGAGGGGTGGGAGGTTGGCCGAAAGCACAGTCAAATACGAAGGTCTTGAGGGGTTGAGGCGGAGGGGCTCCAG